GGGGGTTTCGGTAATGGGCCACAATAATCAACCTCATTGTATATCGACAAAATAAAATTAATAAATAAATAAAATGATCCACATGTTACCTAGAAATAGCTAACTTCCTAAATCCTTTATGAACTCAAATCATTTAATTTAAAGGTTTCAAAATACCATAACTTTCTCTAATTTTGTAAAAACATTCTTTAAAGAGTCCTGTATGTGGAACTCCTTGTAATATAGTGGAAAAGTCTCTGGACTGAAGTCACAAGTTCATCTTAACTAGGACACTAACTAGATGTTGAAAAGAGCTGGATCCCTACTATCAGCTACTAACCTCTGGACTTCTTTTATGAGAGAGGCTGCTCATTTTAATGCTAAAGCACTGATTTTAGGGTGTTTTTCCACAGCTGAACGTAATCCTAACTGATGGGGGTTGGCGTAAACTATCTCTAAGGTACTTTACAACTATGTGGCTCCACACAGTGTGGGGTAGAGCTGGTGGAGGGAAATAAATAGAAATGGTCTGTATCTTCTCAAGATTGAGCAATGCTATTACAGAACTACAAATTTTACAATAATAAAAGACATACTGTTGCCAAAAAGAAAAAAAATAAAAAAATAAAATAAACTAGTCCTTTATCCGGGTAGGTAAGAATCTTTTTCACTGGTAATTAGTAAAAATAGAAACAATATGGAAGTGTATAACCCCCAAACAAACATACCCCGAAAGTGAAAAGCTTTAACAATGCCTGTGGATTTTACAATTTCATTGTAAAATTTTCTTTTCCCCGTCATTTCTCTTGTTTCAAAAACAAAGCAAAACCAAAAAAGCACATTACATATATGCTGAATATGAGAGCAGATAGCACTCTAATCAGCAGTATATTGACAAAATAAAAATAAATAAATAAATTTAAAAAAAAAATTTATAATGAGAGAAAAAAACAACAACATCCTAGTAGAGGACAAAAAAGACATAAAAAGGAAATACACACACATATATATATATATATATATTTTAAATATACACATACGATCAACAAAAATGCTTACTTTCATTAATAATCAAAAATGGTTAAAACAAAATAACATTATCAATCTATTACATAGTTATAAATAATTTTTAAAAGAGGCACAAGTAGGGAAAAATGGTATCATTTACTTCTGGTGAGTGCTGAAAAAAGTTGACAAAACCTTCCTGGGTAGGCAATGGGACTATAATTTGATAATGTGTATCAGCAGTCTGTACACACCTTTGACACAGCAATTCTAGAATTTTGCCCTAAGGAAATAATCAGAGGTATGAACCAAAATTATACACAAAAATATAAATGCCCCGAAATAAGGTAAAATAAGACATAATTTGTTAGAATAGGAAACAAAAAAATCATGTTTTAGAAGAATAATAATATGAGGAAATGTTTCTGATACTTTGAGTAAAATATACTATATATATTACATAATATAATATATACAGAGTGGTACATAAAGCATAATTCCATTTTGCTAAAAAAAAAATGTGGGTGAATGTATAGGGAAAAAGATTGGAAAGATATGCTTTGCTGTATTTTCTAAAAGTTCTATTGATGAATATATTGTATTTATAACAAAAAAAAAGCCTCTGAAATAATGCTAACTTATAGCCAAGAATCTACTTCATGTCTTACGTATTGAAACACTTCAACATGCTTGTATATTGAGCTCATGTTAACTACTCAACTGAGGTCATCTAAATTTTCTACATTATAGTTCAATTAAAGAGAGGACCCATTTTGATCCTAGATCTATTATAATACTCTAAAGTGCATAAGAGCCAGAAAATGCCTTGTTTGCTCTACTGGATCAACCCAGGCAGCAACATTGGGCAGATTACCTTTCTCAGTCTCTTCACATCCAGAAAATGGTATAGTAATGAGCTAACTTAGCCTTATTGGGAGAATTAAATGAAATAACGTATTTTTTAAAAAATCACAATGATTAGTCAAGTCCATAAAAATCCTAGATCATTAAAAACAAAACAAGATGGCTAACAATTAGAATGAGCATTTAGCTTTGGTTTATTGCATCTGCATTTTTCTCCGACATTTCATTACAGACTTCAAGAAAATAAAAGAAACTCGGAGTATGTGTTTTCTACTGTCCACTCCCAGGAAATAAAGCTGTCTCTTCTTCATATCCCCTTCAGTGATGGGAACAATGCCTTGAATGCAGTGAAGGCTTGACCAATACTTGAAATATTGAATTGCAATGATTTTTAATATAAAGCAAGAGGACAGTAATTGATACTATTTGCTATTAGGACTGAAAAATCTAAGAGCTATATATATTTATTAGAAAAGCACCTGGATATCCATTTTTATCTATATCTGTGGCTCCCTTCATTGAATAGCCAAAGCTTGGTGGCATGCTCCGAGCAGCCCACTGTCCTTCAAGGATTTGAGATGGTACCGCGTTCAAGCCTGTTGATCTTCCATTGAAGATATACACAATTCCCTTTTTATCTTCACCCCCATATGGAGCAGCAATTGCAATATCTGTGGGGAAAAAGGAGGTGGGGTGAGAGAGGAATGAAAGGAGGAGAAGGAAAGAAGGGAAAGAATGAGGAAGGAAGGAGAGCAGGGGGAAGAGGGCAAGGACAAAGAGAAGTCTTAGTACTTATAATTATTTATATGGAGATCTTAATATTTATAGACATCACTTATCATGATAAATACTGACTCAAAGTTCACTAGGGTACTCTTAATTTAAAAGAAATGGTCAAATTGAAGGAGATCCAAGTGAAACTGTGTAGAAATGACATTAATTTGGAGTCAGATATCCTGGGTCTGACCTTGGACAAATCACTTAAACTTTCTGAACCTCAACTGCTTCATCTTTAAAATAGAGGGGTTGGAGAGTAGAAAGGGACACATCAAAAGATTCATCTAAAGTTCATTCTAGCTCTCAAAATTCTAGTTAATTTATTTATGCATGATTTTTGCTTTTTTCTGAATAGAAGTCAATCCGGCTCAGAAATTTGAAAGTTATGACTTCATTTTGATCTCACTCAACTTACATTGAAATAACATGAACAAAGTTTTAAATTCTTTAAAAAAAAGAAAAAGAATCCTCAAACACCAAATGGTCACTATGACTTTTTCTAACTCTAAAATACATTACAAATATGTCCACTTCTCTCTGTCTCTGCTGCTAGCACTCTAGGCAAGCCACTGCCAACCTTTGCCTGGACCCCTAAGGCAGGCTCCTAAGTTGGCCTTCCACTTCTGTTCTTGCCTCTTGCCTCTATAACCCATTCTCTTCAAAACTGCCAAATATTAACCATAGCATGTCACACCCCTCCACTTCTTGAAAACTTTCAATTATTTCCCAACATATTTAGAACAAGATCTCAACCCTACCTGGTTTGTCCACTGCTTACCTTGCAAATCTCATTCCTCTTCCGATCCCAACTCCAACTTCTTACCCTTATTCACTCTTCCCAGCAATCCTGGCCTTCTTTTCTGTTTCTTAAACTCATGGAGCTAGCTCCCATCTCTAGGCTTATATAGTACTTGCTATTCCCTTTGTCCTAACAGCTTTTGTTCCAGAGCTTTTCAAAACTTGCTCCTTCTGTTTGTCCAAATCACGGATCAGATGTCATCCTGCCAGAAGTCTTCCCTGGCCACCCTAGGAAGCAATGCACTTGCCCCTCTTGACCCCCTACTCTCTCTATCACACTATCTAGGTACTTTCTATCATGTTACCTTGCCTTTTTTGTTTGTTTGTTTTTAAACGCACAGTCTTTATCACCATCTGGGTTTCCATTGTTTGTCTACTTAAGCTTCATGAGAGAAAGGACATGACTATCTTGCCTACAGTAGCTCCATGTACCAGCCATACCAAACTGCCTCAATTTCCATAATGCACCCAGACTGTCTGATGCCTCCTCAAGAACACATCACCTGAGACACCTTGATCACTCATCCTTTATATGAGACCATTATGACTGGGAACATCTCAAACACCATGATGATCACATTCAAGTGTGTGTTGGTTTATGTTACCCTATGACTGGATGCTGATTTCCTTAAGGATATGAATGGGCTCCGACTTATCCTCTCATTTTCAGCACCTAGAAGAACGCTTGGCCTATGACAGGCACCAACGAAGAATTTTTTATCCTTAAAAAGTAAGTGTTTAATTATGCAAGAGTCCTTCTTTTATCCTTTTTAAAGCTTTAATGGATAAGTGTAACTTCTAAATTGATATATGCATTAAACTTTTCTAAACCCTTCATTATCTTATACATGCTAATCATCTTCTCTCTTGGCTGTCATCTGCCTTGTCTGGAAAACTCTGCTTTCTTATGTAATCGATTTCGTCCTTTGACAATTTTAGTTGCTCTTTTCTGTTTTTAGGGGTTTTTTTTCCCCCTTCTGCTTTTTTGGAGGGGTATTGACAAAACCTGCACATAATTACCCTGGGGCCAAATAAAATTGTGGAACCTAACTTTCTTGTTTTGTTTTCCATCTCCCTAGAGTCTTCCTGATGGGGACAGATGAAAGAGAGGAATACATCAACACAACAAAAAGATTCAGATTATAACTGAAAGCATACATATGTACATATATAATACATATACATATATATAATTTACATGAATACAGATATATATATATAATTTACATAAATATAGCTCAGATTATTTTCCACTGAAGACATTATCATTCATAATCTACTATTTGGGACAATAAGACCCAAGAAGAAACCTTGGGAGACCACAATCATCTTCTACGTTATCTATCTATAAAAGTAAAACCTCTTTGTAAAGTCTTTGGAAAACTTCAACGTTTTTGTTTAATAACTGCTCTTATTTATATCTATTAACAGATAATACCTTTTAATGAAAATACAGAAAGCAAGATGAGATGTTGGCGGGATCATGAAACTGGGGAAAGTTTCTTTAAAGCGGCTGGAGTATCTTTAAGACAAGGTGACAGCAAACATGTCCAGGCTCTCCCACAAAACCTGGGAGACAGAGGCCCAGCTATACAGCAAAGAACTCATTAACTTTATGCAGGGTAGAACCTCAAATTCGGCCCTGTATTTTCTGGTAGTTTTTGTTATCAATAAGTAATAATTTAGTCTGTTCTATAGTATTCTTTTCATGTTTTATTATGAACTTTATACCACAGTTTTATTTGATTTATGTTAAGTTCTCTTGGTTATAAAAATGTTTTAGACTATTTCAGGAAGGAAAATGTACCTTTGAGTATTTATTCACTAACACTGAAAACTTCTGGGGTTAATCTTCGAGTTAACACTTCTAGGCATGACATAAAACTACCCACCAGGCAGGAGTGGAGTCTTGAGGCCAAAGAACATTTCCCTTTCCACTATTACTTGAGAAATTTAAGGGTCATCTGTATTTTCTAAGTTTCTAAGTTTTCCTCTTAATATATAACTTTTCTTCACATTTTTAAAGAGGAACTCCCTATATGTTGTTGATTATACAAACAAACCAACAGCTCATCTCTCCATTCTATGATCTCTAGAAAGGTTTTTAATAGTATTCTTTAAAAACAAAATCTTGGTAATTTGTAATCTATATATCATGTTTCTGAAAAAAGTTATATAGTAGAAGCCAACTCTGCTTTTTAAAGATATCTACAGCTATCCAAATGGGACTATTATGTAACAACAGGCTTATACCTTTTGCATATCCCCATAAAGGGACATATTTTTATATTCCCTTTTAGACAGACACAATAAAGTTATGGCTTTAAAAATATCAATGGCAAAGCACATTTTTGAGCATGCATAAGGTATGGAAGAGTCAGCACTGCCTTGACAATGTGCCTTGGGAGCATTTTCACACTTGTAGACAAGTGGACAGTAGATGGCACTGCTGCTAAGCAGGACACAGAGACAGAAAATCACCAGCTAGCGCTGGGCTCCATGGGCATGAAGGTTCCTTTCTGAAATTAACCATTCTGACATTCTAATTTGAGGATGCATGAATAAGTCATTAGGATCAATTTTTGAAAACTTTGCTCTGATTTTTAAGGGAAAAAAGTGACCTCTCTTTAAACTTAGTGTGTCACTCACTGACACTCAATCCGTCTTTACAGGAAGGTTTGCTCATGTGAACTTCTACAGATGGGGTTATAGAAGTTTTCTAGAAGGACACAGAGAATTGGGGACCCACAGTTGTTAAACTTTGATCTTACCATTGAAGCCATCTTGGTCCAGATCTCCCAAAGGAGCTATGGCACTGCCAAACCGTGCAAAGACCTCATACCCATTCAGCTTTGTTGTCTGGAAGTCTCCTGAAGCTCTCTGGAGAGACACTGAGACCTGCCCCACCTCTTGGAGTTTGCCATCAGAGCCACGATCCATAAAGAGAGGTGCTCCAATAAACACATCTGCATAACTAAAAGAACAGAATCTTCTCACCAAAGCAAGATCAAATTCCATCTGACTATTAATAGGCATTTCCTTTCTTTTTAAAATTCAATTTCCGATCTCTCATAGGCACACTGAAGCACAAACAATTACCATGACAGTCATTTCAAATTCAAACCTTCCTCCAACTCTTGTAAGAAACTTTAAATAATTCATAAAATTACTCTGTATTTTCATGTTACAAAAACTACTGAAAAAAATTATGACCAACATAGAGGTTTTCTACTATTCATGATTAAGGCTGCTTCAAATTGTTTCCTTAAATAGAAAGATTAGCAGGAGGGGGACAGAAAAACAGAGAAAAAAATGTTTAGTTTTAGTAAAGCATTCATAAACATGAGAGGAAAACTGTTTCTGGAAACATTTTTTTTAACTTACTCATCCCCATTAATGTCAGTGGCAGCTACAGAAAATCCAAAATATGCAGCCATCTGGATAACAAGATGAAAAGAAAATGTTTAAATTTCATCCAACCAGTTTAGACAATTAGCATTTGTAGTATACATATCACATAGAAAGTGTTATTTTTTTCTCTGCCTATAGTACTTCGATCTACACATCTTCTCATAATCGCCATTTGTGGTAATGGGCATGCTGCCGGTATGGATCTGACCAGCACATCTTGGGCATGAGTGGTGACAGTCAGCTTTGTACCCCATGAATATTCATACGAATATAACTAAATAAATAAATAAATGAAATGTCTTCTCTTTTGTTTATTCTACAAACACAGTGACAACAGGTGGTGAGGCTACTTTATTTTCCTAGATTTATGGACAAAACATATTCCATGTATATCCTTCCAAAGTCTTCAACACGTGCCATTTAAGTCCAAGTACAATCAATTGTCCTTCCCAGGCCAACTTTTATTATCTCCCTTCTTCTACAGTTCCCAAAATACACCAGACATAGGCACACTGTATGTAACTGTATATAACAGAATGATACAGTCACAGACATATGTTGTAATTGAACCCAAGAAGATATGTATGGATGGCTATGCAGTGAGAATAACAGATAACTATTAATTATTAATAAAAAATTGGCTCTTCCTATGTGAAACTACTGCTACTACTCTACAAATTTACTGTTTGTAAAGACATGGAAAGGAATTCGTTTTTGTCTCAATCTCAATCGACTACCTGCCAGATGATTTTGTTTTTAAATTACACACAATATAAATGTGTCTGGGTTTACTATGAGCTTATTATACATAGGGTGAAGGAATGTCTTCTCTCCCCACAACAGGGGACAACTGGCCATCACAGACAGAGAGGCCTACATGGAAATAAATGTGAAAAGGGAATCTAAAGACAGTCTGTTTACTATGAGCTTATTATACATAGGGTGAAGGAATGTCTTCTCTCCCCACAACAGGGGACCACTGGCCATCACAGACAGAGAGGCCTACATGGAAATAAATGTGAAAAGGGAATCTAAAGACAGTCCGACATGCAAAACAAAACTAGGAGAGATAACAGATTAAAGACGAACTAAGATGAAGAATGAATCAACAAACCAAAAGGGAAAGTTACCGATGCTTCCAAAATTTGATTAGCTAAGCTATCAGAAGGGAATGATCAAGGAGATTCCTACATTATCTAATTTGGGTCTATAAAGTATAATTGAAAAAATGAAAGGTGAGTTCTGTATTCAATGACAAGACCAGAGTTTGTGTAAAAAAGTGTATTGTGTTTGGGGTACCATGTTGATATACTAACTGGAATATAACAGAAGAATATCCTAGTATCTTAGTCTCTCAGGGTGTTTGGACTGAAAGTATAAAGAAAGAATAGCATTTACTGAGACAAGTTTTGTCTTGAGCACTATGACTGAAATGTTTTTATTTGATTCTCACAACTACCCTATGAAGAAGTTACCAGCATCCCTACTTTTATAAATGAGGAACCAGATTTACAGTGGCAAAGACCTTGTCCAGTGCAATAACAGACTGAGCATGGAAAGCTCAGGTATGTCCTCATCCAGAGCCCATGTTTTAGCCTTGAAGAGGAATAAAGCAACCAATACTAACTGTATGCAACAAGATCCAGAGACAAATGTGGACACACATCAGACAAGAGAAGCTGTTTGAGATGAAGAAGTCACAACCGCACAAAGAAATAACTTCCCCTGCAGCAACCCCAACTGCTTGTCAACTACAGACCACTATATGTTGTGCATCAACCCTGACTGCCACACAGATGCAAGAGGTTTCTGGGGACCATGAGTCTAATTCCTCATCTTGTCAATCCTCTCCCAAAGCCCAACAATCTCAACTGAACAAGAAGTGGGCTTGACTTCAAGATCTGCAAACTATGAGAAGTTCCTTCTACCTATTGTTTAATTATTCCCTTATCATTACCAGTTTATAATTTAATTCTCTGAGTCATACAACACAGAATATTATAAAATGCTTGTGCTTATAGAGAATGTCTAGTACTTAAAAGTACTACTTTTTTTTAAACTGAAGAATGTTTTATTTCATGTAGTGCAAATGAAGTTTACTTGTAATATCTGTAATACATCTGTGCCGTGCTTTATTTTGCATCTAATAAAATTAAAAGGCATAGACTATTCCTTAAAGGAGAATTTAATGTCATCAGCAAAGAAAAAGGAAGCTTTGTGGTTTTGTGTGTGTGCAGTTTTATTTTGCACTTCCTAAAAAATAGAAATAAAAATAAAGCAAACGAAAACAAGCAATAATATGCAATAATAAAAAGGCTTTGCTTAAACAAATTAGGTTGGTTAAAACAAAGGTGAAATATTTTTTATCTATAATATTGAATATTATGGAATCATTAAGCTATTTTGATACTGCCAAGAAAAGTTTTAAGACATTAGAAAAAGCTGATGATAAAGCTGAGTGAAAAAAGCAAGACATAAAATTAAAAATACTGAGTAAGCAATTTTTGTTAATACACACATTCACACACACACAAGAGAAAGAAATACACCAAAATGATAACAGTTTGGTGGATTATCTGTTTGACTGGATTATAATTGGCTTTTATCTTTTATTTCCCAAATTATCTCCAATGAATATATACTGCTTTTATAATGAAAGGGGGGGAATGACATTTTAAAAGCCTACCTGCTCACCAGTAAAATTGTGTAAGGAGGACATGTTCTTCCCATCATAGATATAAACCTGTGCAGGAAAAACAAAAATGTGTGAAATATAGTAAAACAGAAGACAACTCAGAGGTTTTTAAAAATACCTTTTAATCTTCCTACCATTCCCAAAGTCCTTGCTGCTCTTGGAACTCCTGAAACAAAGTCTGGAAAACAAAACCAAAACAACAACAATAAAAAAACCTTAATTACTCATTTTTAAAACCAACATTGTAAATTACAGAAGGAAGTGGCTATGTCAGAAAGCTCTAAGTTTTGTTTTACTACTTCAGTAGAAAATCAACAACAGATTTTCAAATATTGGTACTCCATAATAAATAACTGCAGCACTTTTTAAACTGCAAAATCAAAATTTACAAAATATAGATTCTTGAGGACTCTCAAATACATGCAAATAAACCCTCAAGTCATTTGTAATTTTGTTAAAGAAGAATAGATAAGATAAAGCAACCTAAGAAAGAGGAAAAGCTATCTTTACAGTAATGAAAAATAATACAGAGCAAATTGAAATGAGGTAGAGGTGGCTGTGGCACAGAAATGTGATCAAAATCAGGGAAAGTCTACGATTCCTAAGTTAAGCTCTGAAGGAAGAGAGATAGAGACGAGACGGGAAATAACCTTACAGACAGAGCCCAGAAGGTAACAAATTATGCCTAATGAAAGAAGAAACTAAGCCTCTCCAAGTGGACTGACTTTGCTGAGAGCAAGGAGGAGGGAGCTGAAGATGTCACCACCGATAGTGGTGGGGGATGGAAAGGACCAGAAGGGAAAGAGACTGAAGCCAACAGCAGCTGGTTCAATTCCAGCTGCCACTAGAGGACGTGTAACACAGACCGAGCTTGGACTCTCCTCAGTGTACTAACATCTCCCTCATCTCTCCTGTTGTATTCCAGAACAATGGTTTCAAAACTCTCTAATTGCTGAATTTTTTCAATGTCACATGCTTATACTAAATTTTAAAAAGGATTAAATATAGTTCAATTCCTTCTTACCATCTATGCCATCACCGTTGAAATCTCCAACAGCCACTGAGTAACCTAAATGGGGAATCAAAGTTGGACATAGCATCAGAGCAGGAACGATTACCTTCAGCATATTTGTTGAGTAAGCTTTCCTAGAAAATATTTTTAAGTAACTCCTATAATTATGTAATATTTTATCCTCTGGGGTAAGAGATTCATAAGTATATGATAAATAAATTTTAAAAAATAATTGAGGTGAATACTCCAATAGGACATCTCTTTTGGGAAAAAAAATAAGATTGTTTTATTAACTTTATAAAGGAACCTGTTAAAAATAGGGTAAATTTGCAATTCATCAAAAAGAGGCAATATATAACAGTTCCTCTCAATCAACAAGTACTATTTCTCTTGTGTGACTTGTTTTAATAAATAAGAGAAAAATTTAAACAGAGAGAACAAACATTAAATCCTAAAGACCAAAATTGTAGTTTAACATAGTGAATAACAGTTTAGGAGTCAGACTGCCTGGGTTTGAATCTCAGAACAGCAAGTTACAAGTGAGTGACTTTTAGCAAGTTATTTTGCCTCTCTGTGCCTTGGTGTGCTCACTTACATGATGTAAAATATCATAAGTACTCAATAACAATTTGAATTGTTATGTTCCTTGTATTTAAAAAAAAATCTTAATTTATTTCATTAAAGATTTTTTTATTTACTTGAAGTAGCATATGCAAATATGGGAAAAATAAATGAAAACTCCATAAAATGTCTATATTTTGGTTTTACCTACCCAAATAACTGTCATCAAAAATAGCTTGTGCAGTCCGAGTTGCTAATTGGTTATTATACTTGATGCTGTAAACATTGGGGTCGTATTTAGATACAATTTCCGCCACTTGATCTGAAATGAGCTGACCTAAAAAATATATACAAAATAATAACCTTCCATTGGGAACTTTATGATACAGACAATGAATGGAGCCCGCATAAAAGAAAATAGCATTAGATACTAGCATTAGATACTAGCATTTCTAATTATTAGTCTTATAATACTAAATCCTAAACTTGATATTACTTTTTAACTTACAATGATATCTATTCAAGCCAAGTCTTAACATTAGTCTCTGCTAGTAAAACTTAAGAATACAAGATTTGTCTTAACTCACTAAAAATCAATGTTAAATAATTGAAATAATAAATTCAAGGGCAATTTCCAAAGCAAATCCATCAAAACTTGAAAAATGTACAGAAATAATTAAATACTGTTACCTTTATAATCAGAATAACTGGCTCAATTGATTTTTTTTAACTAGTTATTTGGACACCTTTATGAAGCAACCTGAATGGGTCAATTCACTTTTGTTTACAACCTTATGTTGTTAAGTGGACAGCGAATCTAGATGACCACACAAAAATCAGACTGCCCTCCACCTCCGCCCTAAGAAATGTTGGCTAATTTATTAAATGTCATCTCCATAACATGGGGAAAATAATCTCTTCATTTCTGCTGTTTTAGAAAGAAATTTGTAATAGCTAAATTTTTCAGTCCTGTTCCAACTTGTCCAGTCACACAGGTTGAGTCCATAGGTCCGAAACATTCTCTGGGTCACTATCTTATCTTCTTTGCTTAAAAAGCATCAAAAACATAGGAAGAATTCTATAAGTACTTCTTAAATCAAAGAATACAGGAATATTCATCATCTCTTTGGAATAAAACAACATTATCATCATCTCCATTCTTATAGGGACAATTCTGAAATCTATGGAAAAATTCATTCTAATGTACTTACTTATCCAGGGTGAAACTGGCTGATTTTAATCTTGTTAAAATAACTTCTGCCAATTCACTGAGCATTTTAATTACATATTATAGACACTTATAGCAAAACTCATATAAATATAATATTAATAGTATCTATCTGTCCTAATTTATAATAAATAGGAATGTGCATAGATATTGTGTAATACCCAAGGTATTAAAAGAACGACTCATTTAAACAAGTTCACAGCTGTGTCTCTTAAAAAGACAGAGTTAAGAAGCAATACTAACTGAGAATCACAAAATCTAGATTCCTTGACAGTTCTGATTGCCAGGCATGCCGATCACACACTTTACTCCCATCCACTGAATGCCTTACTCCGCAATAAAGAAGAAAAGAAATCCATGTTTTTATATTGAACTAGAAAGCATTAATATCCTCTATTTCTTCATATGCACTTTAGAAGTGCAATTTTTGTTTTAAAACAGTAAAACTCAATTATAATTTTCCTAAATCATTTCATTTCCCAATAGATGTATAATTCATACGAATACAAATTTTTCAGTTTTAGTATGTCTCACTACTGATCTCTGTCTTCTACACTGATTTTTCTCTTTTCCTCATCCTCTCCTTTGCCTTCCCTTTTAACTTTTTATTTATTCCTATTTCTCATTCCTTCTTATTCTCCTTCCATCCCATTTTCCTTCAGCAAATCTCTTTCTTTAGCTTCCTTTCCTACAAAGCAAAAGCAAGCATGCGTTTTCCTACAAAGAAACGAGAAAAGCAAAGTGTAGAATACAAAAATAAAATTAAAAAGTACTTTCAAATCAACAGTCATAGGTTTTCCAATTCTTCCATGTACTAACAATGCTAGAATATCAGAATGCTAATAAACAAGAGTTCTGACCTTGTAAATGGCACTTTTTAGCAGAGACTAAACATATCAATTATTAACAAATAAATAATTGTGTAACTCTAATGGTAAATGAAATATAAGGAAAGCAAATAAACCAATTTGGTTACCTATTTTCAAACTGTCAGCAATAATAATCTGTTATATATTTGTTAAAATGGTAATTTAATTAGGCCTCCCAGAATGACTGAAGAATATAATGTAATGTTTTATCTTTACATCAGTAATGGTTTAATTATATTTTTAAAAAACTTAATAAAATCCCCTATTTCAAAAAGTCCCCAAACACTTAAAGAGATCATTGTTGATATCAGTGATTAATAAGAAAATAACCATTTAAATATTCTAATGAGCAACTTCAAAATACTTTTAAAACCCTGAGCTTTCAGAATGCTCCAATTTGCCTATACAGATTGGTTTGATACACTTCCTAATGACTGCATCATGGACTCCAGAGTACAGTCATGGGAAGTACATATCACATACAATAAAAATGAATTATTTTAAATTACTTTATATATTTACTTTAAAAATATTCAAATACACTTCCTAATGACTGCATCATGGACTCCAGAGTACAGTCATGGGAAGTACATATCACACACAATAAAAATGAATTATTTTAAATTACTTTATATATTTACTTTAAAAATATTCAATTTATTTTCTACTAGGAATATACACATTTAATATGTATCATATGTTATATTCTTTTAAAAAAAGATATTGTGCAACGGAGTGTTCATACATTTAAATTGTATTTTCCATTTTTTTCTTTAAAAATAACTTTGAGGGCTGGCCCATGGCTCACTCGGGAGAATGTGGTGCTGATAACACCAAGGCCATGAGCTCGGATCCCGTATAGGGATAGCTGGTTAGCTCACTGGGTGAGCATGGTGCTGACAACACCAAGTTAAGGGTTAAGATCTCCTTCCCGATCATCTTTAAAAAATAAATAAATAAAATAATAATAATAATAATAATAATAATTTCGAAAATGTCATAGGTGCATGATAAGCCAAGTGAATCAGAGACACAGAGTCAGTACTGGGTAATTTAAAAAATATTAACCTACCTTGCCAATAAAAGCTACCAGGACCTCCAAGAAGTACTCTGTCAGCCTACATTGAATCAAACAACAAAAAATTTATACTTAAAAACACATATCTGTGTAAACAAAAGACAATGCAATAAACAAAAAAAATATATGTACATTTATGAGGGTCATCAGAAAGTTCACGGAAAGATAATTTAGTATACATATGTAATAGTTAATACTGTATATTAAAACAAAGAAAATCATACATCTGAAACTCATCTAACTTAGTTTTACTGGTTTTCATTATACCTTTTCTAAAATAAAATTAAAATATATACATTCTAAAATAAAATTAAAATATAATACATTCACTTAACATATAAAAACACAAAAACATTTTTCCCCCCGTGATTCTTTGCTGTTGAAATACTAGTGCAGAGTATTATTAGGTTACAATAAAGAAAAAAGGTCAGTTTTTAGTTTTGCAAATTAGATTTGTGACTATATAAGGCAAATTTTCTAATAATTATTGAAGAATTTTCCACTAAAGAAAAACTACTTTTAGTGTCTTGCAGATCCAAACAAGAATAAAGTTAGAGGGTAAATTTCTCAAGGTGTATTATATACATACAAATTACACTTGTCCAGCATTTCTCACATGTGTAACAAACTGTGTCTATTTCAAGGTATTTTGTGTTTGAGCACAATATTTTGGAAATTTCTTCTTGCTGAAGGTAAAAGAAACTATTTTTCCCTCCAAACGTACATTTAGCCCTTTTAAGCTTTCAACAGACAATCTTCTGCCCTGGCTATGTAAAAGATACCTCCAAGTTGTCTGCCTTAAAATGATACCCTTTTCTCAAAAATGGGCTTAAGAAAGTGAACAGTTAATTTAGCAACAACTCTCACAGTATAAGAATACTCCTGGGGTTACAGCTGCATAGGCATAAGTACAGAAAATGTGGACTCTTTTTAAAAATAAAACACCTATTTGACAATATATCATGCAAATTTAAACCAAATATTTACTAATATACTTTATCTCTTTTTGTTTGGCTACCTTAAATTTTGAATTATGAGTAACATAATATGAAATTGAGTAAATTAAAAATCAATTACCTAATAAGGAGAGTTAACTATAATTATCAGTACCTAGTCTAGAAAATAATTTGATAAAATGAAATAAAGATAAAATACAAATTTAAATAAAATAAGAAAATGCTTTATTAGTCCTTCTGTATCACATGATTTTAGTTTCTGTTGTTTTCATAAATTTATGGCACTCCTCTTTGCTTACGTTTTCTAAGAAAAGTCATAGTAAGCTTACTAAGAAAGCTCTACTTTTAATCAATCAATATATTTATGAGATTTCTCTAGGAGGGATTAATATTCTCAATTTGATATTCAAAATGTTCATATACCCCACCAAAAATAAATAAATAAACAGACAAAAGGAAAGTATATGAAAAAAATTACCTAACAAATTTGCCTTTGAAAATATAAATGAAATTCTTATTTTAGAAAAATAGATAAAAACTATCAACACTGAAGTGCATATTAGCCTATTTACAAATAGAGCCCAGCAAATGAGAGTTATCATAATTACTAAATTACTTCAACTTCACTGGGTGACTGTAGGCACATGATGGATGGCATCCATGCATGTTTAGAGTAACTAAACTCTAATTGTGTAACAAAGTTCCCACTGGGGAAAAAACAATTTTTGTAATTTTTTTTCCCATTATAAAGCTTTTGTGAAAAACCAATTTTGGTTGAAAATAGAAAACTTCAATATTCTATTAATTCATATAACTGGAAATTTTATTAGTAAGTCATAATAGTTACCCATCATTTATGGAGGATATTCTCTATTTTCTTCCATTACCATTGGGATGTCTCCCTATTTCAAATAAGCAATGTTGACTAGGGAGAAAATAATATAAGGCAAAGAATGTCAAAATGAATGGGTTGTTTTATTAGCTGTTTTCATTAAACAGGTAATAGTTATAAAGAAGCTGAGATGTTGACCAGTTTATGTTTAACCATAGTTTAGTAAATAAGGTAAATCTGAATCTCATTCAGTCTTAAATGAGAACTTACTTTAGTAAAATCAATGCTGAATCCTCCTTGACAAAATCCCTGTCCATCAGCATCAATATTTTCTAAAATAAAAAGATTGAAAATACACACAAACCCAAAAACAAATAAATAACACAAAGGAAAACATGAGAAAAACCTGATAACACTATAATCAAAAGATTATGTACTAGTGTCTGGGAGTGGTCATTCATTCAGACACCGAGTTATTATCACATTATTAAAAAGGTAGTATACAAGTTTATCAGTACTATTTCTTCAGATATGGGAACAGAGAGAGATTAAAGAACCCAGTCACCAGGGAACAGAAAGGTCAACTAAAACGGTAGATTTCAAACTTTTTTTTAACCACAACCCACAAGATTATAGTTTATATCACAACACAACTCACTGTGTGTATAGATATATATACAAAATAAACAAAATTTCACAAATAGTATTACCATTATTATACACAATGCACTCTAATATTATCTATCGTATTATATTTCATTCTATTTTTTTAAAAAATTACTGATTGTGATCCACTATATTGATTTCATAAAACACTAATGAGGTGTGATCTGCAAGTAAAAACTCCAATCTGAAATTCCTCTTTCTCCCTATTTTCCTATAGTTGCTAGGTCTTCACTAAGGTGTTATGAACAACAGCAAAGAGATACATACATTTCCTATACATACATTTTATAGCCAACAACAAAAGTGAAAAACTATAAATTACACAGGTCAGAATTCCCAGAAATGGCAAGGCCCAAACTTAACGGTTTGCAAAGGGCAAAATATGAAACTATCCTCAAAACACGTTTAGTACTCTGGTCCAATTAAAGTGAATATCTTTAAACATGACACTTTTAAGTATTTTATATCCATAGTTGACTCAATAATTTTGCTCCTTTGTAGTACTCTCATTTTTGTAGTTCTCACAAAAAAGCAACTAATTCTGAACAATGAGCCAATTAATTTAAACTGATTTAATCATAAGTAATAACGTACCTAGAGTAGAGGTAAGGATGAATCTGAAGTCTCTCTCCTTGTTTTATTTTGAGGATAAGAAGAAACAATGGAAAACACTAGCCTTCATTTATCAAAGAATTCTTGCAATCAATGTTACAAATATATAAAAAGTTATATTATTACTGTATTTGCCACCCAAATACAGGAACAAAAAATACCTATTTTCAGTCATAAGGACAAACTTCCAAGAATTTTTGTAAAATAATATAATCAAAAATTTTGAACTCATTTTTAAAACCTGGGAACTGCCCCAAGATTACACACTTAATATCTAAATACAAAAAAATTTCTTTTTAGAAAATGACCTCAAGAGTGTAATGCTACCCCAGTGTAAATTTTTCTAACCAAGAGGGAGTGGGAAAATGTGGAGCTGGGGTTTCCAGCATCTAGTGAATCATACTAAGGAATTCTGCTCTAACCTCAAGTCAGCCATTTATTTCCCTTATTCAAACTGCATTGGGAGAATGCTTTCAGGCTGTTTATAAAGACATCCTTTTTTCATTATCACATTGTACAATTACCTGCTTTATTTTGTTTTTCGGAACATCCAGTTAAAAAACATGACTGTCTCTTAAAATTTTCTTAACAGGTACATAAAATTGAGTATTTCTACCAATTTGAAGACTTTTATGTGGACTATAACTTATTTCAGTGAAGGCTTTGGTGTTTATTTCTACAGATGATTAACACTTTTTCCATTTGTGAAGTCTGGCAATGATATTATAAATAGTAATGTTATTGATTATGATAATAAGATCATCTAGTGTTTATTAAGCCCTTACTGTGAGCCAGGTACTATGCTAATTCTACATGGCATTATCTTTTCAAATCTTTACAGCAATCCTATGAGGGATACTATTATTATTCACAGTTTGTACAGATAAGGAAACTAATGCTTAGGGATATTAAATAACTTGACCATGGTCAACCAGCTAGTAAACAAAAGAATATGAACCTGAACCCAAGAGTGTCTACACCACTACACTGCATTATCTCAAATCAACAATGTATTTATCATTCCCTGAGTAATGAAAAAGGGGAACGAAAAGCCAACTAGAAATCAGAACTGAGAAAATCTACATTCAAATAACATTATCAACAGAAAGTAGACAGAAAGAACAAAATACCCAGTCTGAGCATGGAGTTGAAAGATATCATCACATGACTTACAGCTCAGGCACTTTTAGAACAGAAGGACATCTGGCCTATTGCATAATGACAAGAATGGCTACAGATGCCATTATGAAAAGTCAAAAGCAAATGTAGTTAGTAATAATGTTAAGTTAGTGATAAACAGTGAAGTTTCTTGTCCAGGGTGTCCACATAGGCCATAGTTCAAAACCAAACCAACCAACCAGAAAAAAAACAAAAGCAAAAGAACTCCAAAAACTACCACCCCAGGCAAGCAAAATTACCAAAAAGTTAGCAATGCAACCCTACAAAACTGGCCTCTCCACATAACATCAATTATTGGGTTGCATAATTTACTGAAGTATGAAGAAGATACAAAATACTAGAATTGTACCTCTGAAGTTTTCTGTATGGATTAGTGCTTTACCAATAATCAAACAAGGGCCCACAGTGGTTAAGTGAATTACCCACAGTTATAGCTGGATTGTCAGGAGAATGGGAAAATATAACTCAAGTTCTCAGAATCCCACTCCTGAGTTTTTTTCTCTGGACGGGCTGCCCCTTGTAATTTAAGCCTGTAGGTAGCTTAATATTTCAAAGGCTGAATTGAAAAGCCTGTACAATAATTAAGGGTTCCTGAAAGCCCAGCCTATTAGGAAGAAAGGCATTCACTTTGCTTCTTTGTTTTTTGAGGTTGTTCTTAGAGCTTTTTCTAAGATTTGAGGTTTTATTATTTACATCAGAAATCAGCAAACTTATTTTGTAAAAGGCCAAATAGTAAATAAACATTTCAGGCTTAGGGGCCATATGGTGTGGCAACTACTCAACTCTCACTGTTCAACTTTCCCATTATAGATAACACGTACACAAATGGGTGTGGTTGTGTTCCAATAAAACTTTATTTACAAAAACAGGTCCATGAGTCACAATTGGCTGATGTTAAAATTAAATACCTTAGAAAATACGGTTTAAAATGACTTTATAATCTGTGTCTAAACCAAATAAGTGAAAGCATTATGTGCCAGATACACAAGGGATTATCACTAGAATGCATGTTTTCAGGAGGTTTCCATGCACACGTCAGGAATTATCCAAACCTATACTCACGAAAGCCAGATATATTCTGTATAGAAATGCTGTGCTTACTACAGAAACAATTGAAATAGAAAGCATTTTCTATTGCTAGTAATGCAAGGAAAAGCTTCCTTTGAAGACAGACAGACCTGGGTTCAAATCCTCATTTGACCACTCAATACCATAAAAATGTAAAAATACATTGCTTCAACTGTCTGAAAATCAGTTCCCACATCTATCAAATGAGAATAAGAGTGATTTTGTGTGTATGTGCATTATATAAATAAGTTACAAACCTGACACACAAGGGTTAGCTCATTCTTCAAAGCTATAAAATCATCTTCCCACAATAGGAACATTTTTACAACACAGAAATTAAAAGTACAAATTTAGTCCTCAGATTTGCTGTGCAGTACCAAAGATGACAATACTATGACAAAAATACCACATGGCATCAAGCGCTGAGGATGAAGATGCTGACTTCCTTCATCCTGTGCAGGGTGTGTTTTCTGACCTAATTTTTACTCTATCCTGATACATAATATGGGTCTGAGTACATATTCTTTTGATGTTTACTTTCCACTTGCAACAGGAAGGATCAAGGTGATGGACTAAGAAAATAAGTGTTTTATGAAGTAATTTTTGGTTTCCCAGAAGTTCAACTACTTACAACTTTGAGGACAGAGCAGTTCCTCTGACCTGATGTCACATGTCCCCTAACACAGAAAAAAAGAAACTACAGGAAGAGTCTTACATGTTGTACTTTTGTTACTAATTCTCTCTACTAAACTACTTGGTGATCAGTCAACATAAAAAGTAATACACTAAAAAGTGCTCCAGGTATAAACACTATACTGCAGTTCAATAATCTATTTTATGCTTCTAGTATAAAGAAGATCTAGAGTAGTGGCCAATTCAACAAGGGGTCAGGGATCAGAATCTCTAAGGGGAAAAGAAGGTACAGAGTTTGGGAAAGCATAACCAAAATTCTAAGTGCTTAAAATAATCTTTAGGGGCCGGCCTGGTGGCACACTGCTACAGTGCGCCACTTGGGAGCGCGGCGGTGCTCCCACCGAGGGTTCGGATCCCACATACAGACTGGTTCCCGCTCACTGGCTGAGCGAGGGGTGGGCGCAGCACCAAGGGTTGCGATCCCGTTGCCGGTCCCGGTCCGGTACGGGCACGACACTGAGGGTTGCGGTCCGTTGCCGGACACGAAAAAAGACAAAAAGGAAAAAAAAAAATCTTTAGCCACAATATTAATTCCAATTGAAATTTCAAGTATTATTAGAGAACAGTGTGAGATCTTTTGGATCACCAAAGGAGGGATGGGCTCAGTAGCTCATTAATAAAGAAACTCTCATTAACAGTGGGGAAAATTCAGATTCAAGACTCCCAAGTTCACCTTCCTATATAAACTCTGGCTCTTTAATAGATAATTTATTTTTAAAATCGTTATTAATATAATGCAGTCGTTCTCAAACTTTGGTATCCATCAGAATTATCTTGCAGAGCTTGTTAAAAATGCATGACCCAGGCCTGACCCAGACCTATTGAGAATCTTTAGTTGTGGGGGTCCCCATCTCTGCTAGAGAAGCTCAACTGAGCATCTTTTGACTAAGAGTGATTAAAAATACAGGTTTCCCAAATCAGATATTAATTATTACTAACCAAGGAAGATGAAAATGAGTTCTTAGGGAAAAAAGATAAATCTGTTTACTTCACATTTGTAAATTCTTTACATTAGGACTTTTCATTTTGCTCTCATCAACATAAGAACATGTCTACATATTTTATCACGCATACATGCTAACACAAACACTTTTAACAAACTAGGCTTCCAAAC